TATTATACAGAGTTCCAACAGCTGTCTAGAAGATCGCAAGAATCAAGTCAAAGACTTGAAATATGAAGAAGCAAAAAACACCCAATTGGAAAAGCAAAAAGCAAAAAGAATACAAAAATATGAAGATAGTGTAAGGAGCCTCTGGGACAGCTTCAAGCATACCAACATCCGAATTATAGGGGTGCTAGAAGAAGGGAGAGAGCAAGATATTGAAAACCTATTTGAAGAAATAATGACAGAAAACTTCCCCTACCTGATGAAAGAAATAGACTTACAAGTCCAGGAAGCGCAGAGAACCCCAAACAAAAGGAATCCAAAGAGGACCATACCAAGACACATAATAATTAAAATGCCAAGAGCAAAAGACAGAGAGAGAATCTTAGAAGCAGCAAAAGAAAAACAGTTACCTACAAGGGTGTACCCATAAAATTGTCAGCTGATTTCTCAACAGTAACTTGACAGCCAGAAGGGAGTGGCAAGAAATATTCAAAGTGATGAATGCCAAGAACCTACAACCAAGATTACTTTATCCAGCAAAGCTATCATTCAGAATTAAAGGTCAGATAAAATGCTTCACAGATAAGAAAAAGCTAAAGGAGTTCATCACCACCAAACCAGTATTATATAAAATTCTGAAAGGTATTCTTTAAGAGGAAGAAGAAGGTAAAAATAATAATTATGAACAAGTACATATCTATCATCAAGTGAATCTAAAAATCAAGTGAATAAAAAATCTGATGAACAGAATAAACTGGTGAATATAATAGAATCAGGGGCATAGACAGGGAGTGGACTGACAATTCTCGGGGGGAAAGGGATGTGGGGGGTGCAGGAAGAGACTGGACAAAAATCGTACACCTATGGATGAGGACAGGAGGGGGGCGGTTAAGGGCAGAGGATGGGGTGGGAACCAGGTGGAGAGGAGCAATGGGGGAAAAAATAGGAACAACTGTAATAATCTGAACAATAAAGATTTAATTTAAAAAAACATAAATACTAATAAAAGTAAGAAGAGAGAGAGAGAGAGAGAGAGAGAGAGAGGTGCTTGTCAACGGTAAAGGATCTTGAGATGGTAAGAGTAAAGGCAACCCAAAGCATTGTTTGCAAAAATGTCTTGGCGATAAGACACCCCCTCATTTATAAAGAAAGGAAGTATCTGTAAGTTTGCAAGTTTGTAACAGGAAATTAAAGAAGTTCTCCTTTGATGGCCTCTGTTTTCTCTATAAAACTGCTGGTAGAAAACAGGTTGGGAGTTTTATGGAAAGTGGAAAGACTTGGAATATTGTAGGAAGTGATAGAGCAAGTTGGCCTGATAAAAGTAATAGGACTAGTAAGCAGTGTTGAGGGCCTGTATACAATTGTAAAAATGAACTCACCAGTTCTGCTTTCCTGTGTGGCTTTCTCAAGCAGGAAGGGAGAGTTCACTTAAAGTTGAGATGGTCACTGGTATAATGCTATTTTCTTAATCAGGAGCATTTTTGCCCTTTAGGCCAGGGGACAGTGTTTGGAGACATTTTTTTTTTTTATTGTTGTGAAGATGGGGGTGGGGGGGGGCGGTGTTGGGAGAAGATGTAAGAGGGGGACTAGAGGCATCTGGTGTCCAGGGATGTTGCTAAATATCCTACAATTCACAGTATAGCACAAGAATTATCTCCACATATATGTGCCAAGGTTGAGAAACCCTGATCTAAGATTACCTTGATGTTCACCAACAGCATATTTTGGTCTTCTGTAAGCTTTTCCTTGGATTATGGCCCCGAGTTTATAGGCACAGCAATTCTTTCATTGTGTGTCTTTTAAAGGAGAGTATGATGAACAGCAGACCCCAGATGTGTTTCAAGGACTTGTGATGTCATAAATACAGAATTGGAATAGTTACTCAATCCTCTAGAAGCAAATCTGGACTTACACATAGTTGGTGGGAGCTGCTTACATTGATTTGAGGCATTGAAGTTCTTGTTAAACATAGATATTAAGCCCTAGCTGGTTTGGCTCAGTAGATAGAGCGACAGCCTGCGGAATGGAGGGTCCTGGGTTTGATTCCAGTCAAGAGCACATGTTCAGATTGGGGTCTCGATCACCAGTAGGGGTTGTGCAGGAGGCAGCTGATCAAAGATTCTTTCTCATCATTGATGTTTCTCTCTCTCTCTCCCTTCCTCTCTGAAATCAATAAGAATATTTTTTAAAAAGACACAACTTAAAAACACACACGCATAGATATTATTTAGAGATTCAATAATATAGAAGTAACACTTCAACCTTAATGTAATTTGGTTATCTGACTAGTTTAGTCACTAAAATAGTATCTTGTGGGAATGAGTATAAGCCAAGTTTAATAATACTGGAAAATATATGCACAGTGGGTATAAGAATATAATCATAGGTATTGATGGATTATCTGCTCATGTAAAACTAGCAACACCCTGAGAGACAAGATTATTTTGCATTTAACTCCGAGGAAAGTGAGGTTCCAAGAAAACTTGTAATTTTGTCCAAAGTCACAAAGTTCAACATTTCAACTCAGGTCCGTCTGTTCTAAAGCTTTCTCATTGGGACTTTTTCATTTCACTTCCATTAAGTGTTAGTAAGTTTTGCAGAGGAGTAGTGGTTGAAACAGTTGCTACTTGGGAAAAAAGTAAGCGCACGAGGGAGGCCCAGAAAGAGTAGAGAATGAAAGAGTAGCTAGGAAGGCTGATCCCGGGAGTTTCTGGTGCTAAGTCTTCTGCAAACCAGCCTTCCTCTGGGCGTGCTCCTTCCTGAGTAAAGCCTCTTTCCCCTATGTCCGTTGTTCATTCTCGCGTGTTCAAATAAAGCTAGATTATTGAGAAAGGCGGACTCCAAAGGGAAAAAAAAAAGGTAGCGCGAAGTCCGCGCCCTGTGCGCCTGCGCACTGGCGAAAAAAGGGGGGGGGGGTGCCCGGCGTGGAGGAGCGGGTCCGTAGCGGGCCGCCGGACCCAAGGCGGAGGAGGGCGTTTGGGAGCGCCTTCGCCCGGGCCTCGGCGGCCTGATGGAGTAAGAGGGTCGGCAGCTAGGGTGAGTACCCAGGGCCGGGCGGTGCTGAGGCGCACGGGGGCGCGGGAGGCCGGGGGTTTGCCCCTCCGGGAGGTGGGGGCTGCAGGTCGCGGCCGGGTCTGTGCCCCTGCGGGCTGGGGCGCAGGGCAGCCG